TATGTGCATAAAGGCCTGATATATCATTTCTACCATAATTTTACGGAATTAAATAAATGATTGTTTTAATTGTTTTTATGTTTTAAAAATTAAGAGCATAAAGTAAAATATAAATATTTTCGAGTTATAAGTGATCTCCAACGGCGCTAAAAAATGGTTATCCTCAACTGTCCTGAACGTAGATGAAACCTAAAACTAATAAGTCTATGACATATTGACGAAAAAGTCAAAACTTGATAATATGGGGGCATTTAAAAAAAGTAGAACTTTACCTAAAACGTTAATGGGGTTTCAATGAGATCAAGGTAAGTAATTGTATGAAGAGATATGTATGTATAATACAGAGCAATTCTTATATTAGACAATTGGCTACGCAAGCAAACTTAAAAATGTAGTTTTGAGAAAAACTTTGAAAGATAAACTTATTGAGATGATTGACCTGAAGTCTGTAACTCAAAAACTATTTTTGATAATAATAAGATGAATATGACAAAGAAAAGTTCCTTAAATGAACTTAACTCCGATGGTTCAGTTTGTATAGCAACTAACATATCTACTTCAGTGATCCTATCTGAACGATTTCTTTTGATATTGCATTAATGACAATAGCCCATGCTAAATTTGGTAAAGATCTCGTCAAATGAAAAATATTGCCACGCAAGCATTTCGATGTTTAAGTTTGAATGAGAGCTATTTATAATATTGGCCCAATATCGGCCGTTCCAACAAATGAGCAGCTTCTTGCGTAGAGAAGGACATGTGCAAAGTTTTAGATCGATATCTCAAAAATTGAGAGATTAGACAGGGCGACGCGGTTAAATCGGTTCACCTCATCATGCTGATTATTGACATATGTATGTATATACATACAACTTCCTGGCAAATTTAATATACATATATGTATACAGATATATGTACCTTCTTCAGGAATAATTTTGCTATATGTTTGGAATATTTGAGGTGTTTCATTAATTAAAAGACAACAACTTAATTTTATTGGCAACTCAAGGAAAACGCATTTTCATTTTTTTGTAATTTTTTATTTTTTTTTTAATTCAGTGTAATAATTTTAACATTGATTATCCGATATCTGTTTATAACCAATTATACAAGTTATGTGCAGTGTACTTCATGATTAGAAAATTTTTAAATTTTATTATTTTGGTTGAACTTAACTTTAATTTTTAATTGAAATATTTAATTTCTTAACATTTTTGTTGAACTTCTTCTATACAAAAACTTACGTTTCGCTATTCTCTCGTCGCCACCACTGTATTAGCCAGCAGAAATCTGTTCTACCGGCATTTTGTTCCAACTCAAACACCGGACACGAACATTTCGAGCGAACATTGCAACCGTGCAACCGAACATCGAACAACGAACTTGCGCGAAGCGAACATTGAAATCAATGTTCGATCCAATCCGTAGCGAACATTTCTCAAAATTCTCGCTATTCAAACGCTATACGTACCCGGGTTGTTGGACTGTTCGGACGTGCATAGTGGAGAAGCGGTTATTTAACGCGAGTTAACCAAATGAGTACAGTGGAGAAAAAAGAAATAGAGCTAATAAAATAAAAAAAGAAATACCGTGCAATAGTCATAGCCAGCAAATGAAGAGTCAAAAGCGCTGTGAGACGCGCGAAGTTTATAATTAAACGCAAGTGGAGAAGCMGAGGAAAATATTAGTGTTAAGAAAAGAAAAGTAAATGAAATAAGCAATAACAGAATCAATGCATGAAATATAAGCGAATAAACACGAAGTGAGTAAATAAAATCAAAGAAGCGCAGCGACGTGCGTTTGCTAGTGAAGATTGTGTTTTGTGTTTGAAGGCGAGCAAAAAATAAAAGTTCAGAAGAAATTGAGAAAAAAAATATTTACATATGTGTGTAATATCCATTGATTGGAAGTGTGTATGCTATTAACAGTGCAGAGTTCAGCGCAAACGAAATTTTGTATAAATTATTAATTTCATGTCGCAACACGGTGTTTTGTTGCATTTTTGGTTGTGGTAGTTCAAATTTTTGCAAAGTCTGTGAGTATTCTCAGTGTTGGCCGTGTCTTGACCAGCTTTATTGGCCTTAAACCTTCTATGTTTTTGTCAGCGTGTTTTAGTGGGCGATTATGTCACTTTTTTCTTAAGCAGTGTTCTTGCGAGCGAGCGCCTAATAATAATCAAAGCAGACAAGCAAATACAAATAAAATACTGAAAATAGAACAAGCGATTAATGATTGCGCGTTGTAAGAAAAGCAAAAACAAAAACAAAATCAATAAAAACACACAAGCGTTGTTGCTACAATCGTTTATAAGCTGCAAGTAGTTGTGTAAATTTTGTGATTTTGTAAAAGTGATTGAATGTCTGTGCGCGAAGTGGGAACAAGTGAATCCCGACATAAATCAGCTGCTGAGCAATAAAAACTTCAGGTATATCAGCACGAGTTATTATAGCGTTGGCCAAAAAGGCATACAAAATTAAGCATTCTATTAATATTTTATAAGCGTTTCGCTTAATGTGTCATTTCGCACATTAAACCGACGCGCGGTTATAGCCAAAGAAATGTGCCAAACAAACTTCTAAAATAATAGCAAAACGCTCGTGAAAAAACAATCAGTCAACAGCGCTAAGTGCAAATAAGTAGAAAGAAAGGTGAGCGCGCTGTTTGTTTGCCGTTCTTATGCTTGAGCGCTGCTAACGTCGTCTGCAGATGCGCCGCAACGCGTTACGCCGCAGCCTATACCTGTGCCGCCTGCTAACAATCAAGCAAGAAAATAAACATATGGACGATTTATTCACCTTCTTCTTAACGCGCGTTCTTCGCTTTTGCATCTTCTGCCGGTTTATCGCTCACATTGAGATATTGCCGTTTAACTGTCGGGTATTGCTGGCGGTCGTCGAACGCGTTGCTCAAATTGAATTAGACGCGCACGTAAGTAAATAAACGCGTTTGGGCGCGCGGTGGGAAGACATAGAGTGTTAGACGCGCAGCGCAGCAGACGCGTTCCTAAAAGCTTGAGCGCTTGGTCAATTGACCGTGCACGATTTACGCGCAGTTGTGTGAAATGCTTGGTAGCGTGGTTAAACGGAGACAGCGAATATAAGAGTAGTCAAATTAAATGCGACAGCTTCGAATACGATTTCCTATGTGAATAAATAAATCTTAACTTTTCAAGGCGGTGAAAATTGTGATTTTTCCCGAGCAGAAATTATATAAGCGCTTTGACTCTCACATGTACACTCAGCGCAGTGCCGCACTGTGGTCGTTTCAGCTAAATTTAACTTCACTATTGACAAGTGTGTGCGGAAGCGTTTCGATTGTATCATACAACGCGACAACCTGTCAGCAGCGCGACTTTCATTGTTGGCCGAGCGCTTGCAATAAGAGACAGTCAGCTGTTCGGGTTAAGACACACATACACATACTTAGATAAAGAGGGAAGCAAGAAAGTGTGCGGCGGCTAAAAATAAACGCGAGTGCAGCATTCCTAAAGCACAATAGACAATCGGAAGAAAGTGACGCAAAGTGGAAGAAAAACACTTGGCGCTGATTTATGCCACAATTAGCGGCGAGTTGCGGCGTCTTATACGTATAAAAAGTGCTGACAGTAACACATGTGAACAACATTGAACATTTAACACATTTGTGAGACGTGCAACGGCAGGTGGCAAGTTGTGAAAAAAAGAATACACGCATTGTTATTGATCAAAAAGTGATACTTATTGTTGTCACTATAATTTTTGTTGTGAAAATATTTTTTTGTTTTATATATTTAGTAGATATATAGCCATTTCATGGGCGTTCGTGCAAAATCAAAGTGTTTCATTGTGAAATTAAATTCTAATTAAATCTATTAATTGGCCGAGATTTTCTAAAATTCGATTTTTCTAAAACCGGTTATTTCCTTTTTCATATTGTTTTTGTTTTTTACAGTTTTGTGTTATGTGTTTTCGATTGGCGGTCCAACATAAAGGCGACGTCTTGTGTTAATTATTTGCATACTCTTACATCAAAGGGAAGTTGCCGACGACATTATAACAACAAAATTAATAATAACAATCAGAATTAAATTAAACTACAACAACAGTCAGAATAATTAAAGCACATTAAAAGTAGTTAAATATCGCCTGTTGGGCGTTTATAACACGCATAAAGTCATATTAAGCGCTCTAAAGCCATACAACAACAGCAACAAGCAAGCAAAAAGTGTGCGCACCAAATTTGTTGTTACTACTACGCACCTACACACGCACACGYGCTAGTATGGCTCACGCCGTCGAAGTTGCCGGCAAACGSAATGCCACAAAGCCAATAACARCAGCAGCAGCGCATAAAAAACAACAACTACGTCGACTATTTCTGCTGTTGCAAGTTTGCATTGCCGTTTTAGTGGCCAGCAGTTGTTTGGCATTGCCATCGGCGGCCGACGCGAAACATCTCGATGGTCATCATTTTCATGCTCATCATGAGCAACAACAACAACAGCATGCACATCACAGGCGCCGCTTGCAGCGCGATTCGACCAGTAAAATTTTAAACACACGCGGACAGTGCAACAGCGTGCGGGATTACTTCGAGACGATCGACGTTAAGCTGATTGGCAACTTTGAGGAAAAAGGTGAGTGAGAAAAGAAAAAAACTGTTTTGTTGTTTTTGTAAGTTAAGTTAAGTTCCCAATTCACTAAGTAAGTCAGACGGACAGCTAGTGAATGTGGCAAGTAGCGCTTATTACCGCCGTATCTAAAAACTTTTGCCAATGACTTGAAATAAGATGCGGCAAGTGTGTCCACTGTAGTTTGTGCGTGCGAAATTGATGTGGGTGTACCGTTAAAGCATATTTCATGAAATGTCAATTGCAAGTTTTCACTTTGAAAGTTAAGTTGATTTCTGGTTTGTGGCGATTAAGTGATAAGAAAGCAAATGTGGTATGCAACTCGAACTTAGCCACAGTAACCACAAGGGCGAGCGAGTTTCCTGAAATAATTAATTATACAATGTAACTCACATAAAACATAAAAAATGTCAAGCAAAGTAATGCAAGTAAAAATCATTGAATAAAAATCCTTAAATTAATTTCAAAGCCTTGCATACAATTAACAATGCAACATACAAAGGAAGCAAGTTGCCGGCAATAAGAAGCAAAAAACTGGTTGCGCTTCGCCGCATGCACTTCAAAACTTGCTGCGAAAGCAAAGCAAATTCACAGCTTTGTGTGTTTAACAAATTTCACGTAACAAAGTAAGTGCGCGGGCAATAATGTTTGTGTGTTGGTGACCCACCTTTGGTGTACCGCGCTGCCGACAGCTAGTGGGAAGTAGATAAAGCAACAACAAAACAAAGCAAATAAAAAACTTCGCTTGCTTTGAGTTGCTTTTAGACGATTTGAGAGCTTTACCTTTGAGTAACGACAAATATACAGAGTGAGGCAATGAAGGGAATAAGAATTTTTCGGGTGCATAGAATTTCTATTTTCAACATTTACATGAGAGTAAATCATTGTTCAGACTCAAAATTCAGGAGTAAATGTTTAAGAGAGCTTTTGAACCAGCTTTTCAAATAGAATTATACTCCATATGGGTTGTCAGAAAACTGAAAAGCGGTAATATGGCAAGTAAGACGAAGTTTCTGGTTTTTTGATTTCTGAAATTCAAGGTTGCTTTAAATATTCTAATGCAATTGAAAACTCATAGGGGTTTGAAATGTTCAGAAAACTAAAAATGTTTCGAAAGCTCTAAGATAAATCGTTTTCGAAAGCTTTATACGCTAGTCATTCCAAAACTATCAAAAGCTTTATATGCCAGTGCTTATATGTGTATTCGTTCCAATGTTTGAAAAGATCAGAAATTCAAATATTTCGAAAGCTCTAAGGACAATATTTAGAGGCAAATCGTTTTCCGAAAGCATTATACGCAAGTGCTTATATAATAATTCTGGAATTATCAAAAGCTTTGTATGTCAATGCTTATATATTCATTCCGAAATTATCAAAAGCTTTATTCTGCTTTCATTAGAAAACAATCGAAAGCTTAAAACCCGAAAAATTATTTTATTCATTGCGATAATACTTATTATTGACTAATGTAATGACATGTACAGCCATTGAAAGCTCTGAAAGCAGTAAAAGTGATGACAGCTTTTTAAGCAATATTTTGTGACCAATTTTGTGCTGAAAGCTCAATAAGTGAATAAGTTCAGAAATGTTCAAAAGCTTTATATAAGCTTATATCTTATTTGCCGCGTTACATAATGCATTAAAGCTCCAAACATTTCGCTATATTGCTTTTTGCACGACCTTCGCGCTGATACTTCGCTTATCCCTTGAAAATGAACTTCAGCCTGTGTTACACAGGGGCTTGTTGTCACTTAAGCAATCACTTGCTTAGACTTCTTAACTACAAGGGTTCTTCATTTTTGAATGAAATACACTGTCGAAATAGGAGTATCCACTACTACATACATACACAAATTCATGTGCCTAGCATCCCACTCTACGTACTTAAAGCTCTCCAACGAACCAGTTGCGAAATGCCAACGTGCGTTTCAGCATACCTCAAGGGAATGGGTGGAGACAAATTATAAGTGTATAAGAACGACTAGAGAATAGAGAGAGGAATAATCTAAAGATTCGATAATTCGTAACAATGAGTGAAAGTTGTTAAACTGTGATAAAATTTGCTATTGAAGTCAATTGTTAGTGTTTGCTTTATAGTTGTTGTTGCATCATTCAATATTGCTATACAAACACCAACACACACATTGAGAAACAAACGACACTTTCATTGCGAAGGTCAGGTCAAGTCAATCGTAGATGCGTAAATTACTAGCAAAAACTCGAAAACAACAGCAACAATGTGAAATAAAAACTTCCTTGAACTCGGTAATGAATGTTTCATACACGCAGCTCGGTGAGGGGAGTAAAGTAGTGAAATGGGCTTGAAAAGTTGTGCCTTGCTAGACGAAAGCTCAGTGGAAGCGTAAAAGGCAGACCAAATGCCTGGCGGCTGTTGAATAGAGTGACTTCATAAAGTTCTGCATGCGTSAAGTGATTTTATTTTATTGCATTTTTTATTTAACTTGGATAAAGTTTGCGTTTGTAAAATGTGAAAAATTAACAGGCATTTGCGAGCTGTAGACATACTAAATGAGTTGCATTTAAGGCTTAAATAGCGGCGGAATTGTGGTCAATACGTGTCGTAGTGTAGTAAAATCTATATTTACGTATATACTACATTATTGCAAGAGAAAAACTAATTGATAAACACAAAGATTTAATAATTATTTACGGAGAGTCAATAGTGAGGCACTGAAGACATTTATTTTTATATGCAAATTATATTAAGAGTCCAATTTTCTCTACTTTTAAGGCTTAATGTGTGGCATTATAAGTTCTGAGTCCGTTACTTGTATGTAGAATCAACTTACTATTATCAAATTGCTTTCGCGATAATACCATCATTTATCTACTAATCTTTCTACAAGTTATTCTAATTTAATTTATTGCATGTATGCATTTTTCTATGAATATTAACACTTCATATTGACCAGTTCTTCATTGTATGGTGGCTTTTTCAATTTTTAACTTAAAATAATTCAGGTTTAATAAAATATTGCCCTTAGCATGTTCGAAAATTTTAGCTTAGGGTTCCGYGCTCAAGCCTAACCTCATGAGAATCGCCACTGGATATAATAAAATTAATATAGTCTTCCAATTCAGCTAGATTGTGGGTTAGCTGTTGAGTAGTAGAGTCATCTATTGTATAAGTAATTACATAATCCTCTCGGTTATGTACTTCATTTATCTTTTTATGTGATATTGATTTTTTGAGGAAGGAGAATTAATATGAAATTTCTAGAAACAACGCTATAGAGAATACTTTTCTCCATACGATTACTCTGTAGGAGAGTATCTTTTGCGGTAGAAAACTGAAGTATTAACTTTTCAATAGTAGTTAATTAAATCTAAAAAATCATTATTCGAACAGTGTTCAAAGTCACACCCACCTTCTTCAAACTAATTTAATATATTGCAACTAAAATCAAACCGCAAAGTTGTTAATAAAATCCCATTGACGAGCGGGTGTTTCACCAGCAAAATGCTATTTAAAACTAATTTTCCATGAACTATTGAATAATTCACAAACCAGGTGGCATTTCATGTCTCGAAAAAGCGTCAATTGACGCCATCGCTAATGATACCGTGACGATAGCCCCGCATGCTGGAGGAAAATGTGTGCGAAAGGCCTGTGGCAAGTGACACAGGCAAACGTGTGGTAAATGGGCGAGTAAAACAAAAGTTCAAAGAGACAAAATATAAAATAAAACTATAAGCAACGAGTTGATAAAAGAAAAAAGAATTTACACAGAAAAATGTATGACRTAAAAAACCCGAGAGCAGACAGACACGGTAATTTTGTGACAGCCCCTATATAATATGCATAAATTATATATGACGGCGTCATGGTTAAAATTATTAAATGTAGTTAGCTCATGATTTATGGCACAAAATTACTTGTAAGTAACTGAAGTTGCGATAGAATTGCTGAAGTAAATAAGCTTCTTAACTGCTTAGATAAAAAAATTTCTAATTCATATTGAAAACTAATTCTTATTAAATAATTACTAAATAAACAAAATGTTGTAGAATAGAAATTGCAACCATAACTCATTAAGTAATTGTCAGCTGTGTCCTCTGACAGCACAAGTCAGCAAAAGTCCCATGCCAAAATTCGTGAGAAGAGACAACCAGAAATTTATCGCAATAAATTTACTAAAAGAGAGCATTCGCGTACCACAATAAAGTAATATGTCCTCTTTCTATTCTTGCTGCATATTTTATTGATCCGACTTGCTTGTTCAATTCGAAACTTTCCAAGTTTAAAGAGCAGAAGTTGGCCAATATTTAACTATCATTCTATGAGTATAAATCTATTATACTACAATACACAATGACTAACTTTAAAAAGCGTGCTCTTAAAATTTTGTATAAATGTGTTCTTTTGTCTCGGATTGGTCACTAAGGTACAGAATCCTTATTTCGTTAATATAATAATTTGTAGTCTTCAGTTTCCTCTAACATTGTAGAATTCTATGAACTTACCTCCATTTACCTGAATAAGTATACCCCCCAAGCTTTTAAGCCGATTTTTCCTACGGGGCCACCACTGACCATACGCGCCTATTTAAATAGATTCAGTCGTGATTTGGCTGTCGTGTCAGTGTTATATTTTATTTATCTGGCTGAAGCTGTCAAATATTTGAGATTAATGAACAATTTTATGCTTGTACACTTAAGTAATTCATATCCAATGTGGCTGACTGACGGCGGAGCTGCAGCATTCACCCGACAGTGGCACGAAATGCCTGATATATATAGCACATATGTATATGTCTCTGTATAAATGTGAACAAATGTGCAATCAGCTCCCAGCCCTTAATGCTTGCTCACTAAAAAGGTGTTAAACCTTAAAAAAGTATTCAAAATAACGCAGCGATAATAAACAAATTGGGTATTTACAGAAACATTTTCAAAAACTTTTGTGAAGTTTGTTGTCCACATTTTCCTGGCGGTATCTTTTTGATTGTTTTTAGATTTATTTATGTGAAAATATTTTCTACAAT